GCCCTGCCAAGCCAGAAATTTTCTAGGATGTCTACTACTGCCATTTTATCTACCATTGTATTGGAAGTACTAGTCAATGCAGTTAGTTAAGCGATCAGAAATACCAAGTTTCAAAATTGGAAAGAATAGGTAAAATGATCACTTATTTTGCAGATGATACCATTGTGTACCTGGAAAATCTAAGATAATTCCCTAAAAAAATCATAAAAAAGAAAAATTCAGTAAGGGACAGGGTATAAAAATATTTTAAAAATCAATAGGATCCACCTATTTAAACAATAACCAGTTAGAGGATACACTGCATATAAAACAATTATAAATAGATAAAGTAACTAGGAATAAACTTAATGAGAAATTTGCAGGATCTTTCTGAAGAAAACTTCAGTAAAATGCTGCTGAGTGACATAAAAATGACTTGAATAAAGGAAAAGTGTATCATGTTCTTCAAGAGGAAGACGAATACATAAAGATGCTAATTCTTCCTAAATAAATAAAAATAATATCTTTTGAAACAAACAGGTTCATTTCAATATCCCTATGAAAAGTAAACTGTGAGTAGTAGCCAGGAAAAAATTGAAATGGAAGAATACAGGAGAGGTATTCAGTCCATCAAGGTACTGGATTACCAACTGACTGGTATTGGGACGACTGAGTAATCATTTAGGACAACAAGTTAACTCAATCAAGATCTCACACTCACATTAGGGTGACTTTTAAATGGATCAATGATCTTAAACATTATAAAAGTAATAGAAGAATCAATGCTATGACTCATTTATAACTGCAAAATTGGTCTTTCTAATCATGACGGTAACTCAGAGAAGAGACTCATTAAATTGACTATGTGGAAAAAAATGTGCACAGCAAAAAAACTATCACAAGCTAAGATAAAAGACCAACAAGTAATAGGCAAAATCATTTGCAGTTTATTGAGTAAGCAACTAAATCTCTAGTAAATAAGGAGCTTCTAATAATTGAAGAAAAGACCACAATCCAGTAGGCAAATGGTGAAGGATAAGACTGGACTGCATACAGAAAAGGAAATACAAATAGCTGGCACTTACACACATGAAAGGCTGCTCAGGGTCACTCAGAATAAATTCTTCCAGAAACAGTTTTTTGTGTGTGAGCCTACTATGTGCCAATAATATTAATAATATTGACCTTCTGGATATAGAAGGCAGTGAATCCCTACCCGCTACTCCCCAGGAAAAAAAAAAAAAAAGAGGCAGGGCATGGTGGCTCATGCCTGTAATCCCAGCACTTTGGGAGGCTGAGGCGGGTGGATCACTTGAGGTCGGGAGTTTGAGACCAGCCTGGCCAACATGGTGAAACTCCGTCTCTACTAAAAATACAAAAATTAGCCAGGTGTGGTGGCACACACCTGTGATCCAAGCTACTCAGGAGGCTGAGGCAGAATTGTTTGAACCCAGGAGGCGGAGGTTGCAGTGAGCTGAGACTGCAGTGAGGCTAGAGTGCACTGCACTCCAGTGACAGAGCGACACCCCATCTCAAAAGCAAACCAACAAACAAAACAAAACAAAAAGATTTTTGCTTCATGGAGCTTACATTCTAGTGGAAATGCAAATTAAAGCTACACTAAAATGCTATTTTTAATCTATCAGATTGGCAAAAATCAGAAGTTTGACACCACACTTAATACAAAGCACAATAGGAACTCTCATACCTTATGTGTCAGAGGGTAAATTGGTACAACTTCTGGGATAGATAATTTGGTAGTAACTATCAAAGTTACAAATACATAAGCCATTTGATCCAGCAAAATTATTCCTAGAAATTTATAGATTTACTTATACAGGAGAGAAATGATGTATGTACAATGTTTATTGCTAGAGGGTTTGCAGTATCCAAAGATTAGACACAATACAAAAAGGAGGCTGTTTACTTGATGATACATCCATGCAATGGAATACCGGGGAGCTGTAAAAAGAAATGAGAAAGTGCTATGTGGGAAGATGTCTAAGATATATTGTTAAGTATTCATATGCATATAGTATACATATATTTTCATACCAATTGGGTATGGTGTGAAATGTATATGTATATAGTAGACATATATTTTTTACCAATTATGTAAAAAAGGACCAAAATAGCATATACATAATAAAAGTATAAATTATATACACAATGTATATATTATATATACATACTCAGTATATATAGCATATACATATATAGTGTGTTATACATATACAGTGCATATATTACATATATATACACATATAGAGTGTATATATGTAGCACGTATATACACACAAACTGATATACAGAAAACAACCTGGACCGGCGCAAGTGGCTTACGCCTGTAATCCCAGCACTTTGGGAGGCCGAGGAAGGTGGATCACAAGGTCAAGAGATCGAGACCATGCTGGCCAACATGTTGAAACCCTGTCTCTACTAAAAATAGAAAAAAAAAAAATTAGCTGGGCATAGTGGCGCACACCTGTAATCCCAGCTACTCTGGAGGCTGAGGCAGGAGAACTGCTTCAACCCGGAAGGTGGAGGTTACAGTGTGCAGAGATTGTGCCACTGCACTCCAGCCTGGTGACAGAGCGAGACTCTTTCTCAATAAGAAACAAAAACAAAAACAAAAAAACCCCACATAAAACTAATAACCTTACTTACCTGTGGCAGAAGAAGAAAAGAAAGTAAGAAACCATGTGATGTGGTGGGAAGTGATTTTCTAGGAGACTGGGGAAGAGGCAGCCATTTTCCTAACTGTTCCTTCATAGTTTTAAAAATTTTAATCATGAAAGTGTATTCCTTATTCAGAAAATTAAATTTCAAAAATATTATTGAAGGAAATTTTCTAATTAAAAAAATGTACCAGGCCAGGCATGGTGGCTCGCGCCTGTAATTCCAGCATTTTGGGAGGCCGAGGTGGGCAGATCACCTGAGGTCAGGAGCTCAAGACCAGCCTGGCCAACATGGCAAAATCCAGACTCTACTAAAAATACAAAAATTAGCTGGGAATGGTGGCATATGTCTGTATCCCAACTACTCAGGAGGCTGAGGCAGGAGACTCATTTGAACCCAGGAGGTGGAGGTTGCGGTGAGCTGAGAGCGCACCATTGCACTCCAGCCTGGGTGACAGAGCGAGACTCTGTCTCAAAAAAAAAAAAAAAAAAAAAAACCCTCAGAGAAGGTTCTACGGTATTTCTGTACCAGTGTTTGATCATCTTCATGGACAAGAAGCATCATTTTCTTGAATATACTAAATCTCCCTTTCTGATTTATCTTCTTAAGCAATCACCCAAATTTCTCTTTAAATTGTAGGTCACCTTGGCTGGGCATGGTGGCTCACACCTGTAATCCCAGCAATTTGGGAGGCTGAGGCGGGTGGATCACCTGAGGTCAGGAGTTCCAGACCAGCCTGATCAACATGGGAGAAACCCTGTCTCTAGTAAAAGTACAAAATTAGCTGGGCATGGTGGTACATGCCTGTAATCCCAGCTACTCAGGAGGCTGAGGCAGGAGAATCACTTGAGCTCGGGAGGTGGAGGTTGTGGTGAGCCAAGATAGCACTATTGCACTCCAGCCTGGGCAGCAAGAGCGAAACTCTGTCACCAAAAAAAAAAAAAAAAAAAAAAAAAAAAAATTGTAGGTCACCTCAATTCAGGGTTTTGTATCAAAAGTAGAGATGTCTATGAAACGAAAACTCAATTCTTTTTTTTTTTTTTTGAGACGGAGTCTGGCTCTGTCGCCCAGGCTGGAGTGCAGTGGCCAGATCTCGGCTCACTGCAAGCTCCGCCTCCTGGGTTTACGCCATTCTCCTGCCTCGGCCTCCTGAGTAGCTGGGACTACAGGCGCCCGCCACCGCGCCCGGCTAATTTTTTGTATTTTTAGTAGAGACGGGGTTTCACCGTGGTCTCGATCTCCTGACCTTGTGATCCGCCCGCCTCGGCCTCCCAAAGTGCTGGGATTACAGGCGTGAGCCACTGCGCCCGGCTAATTTTTTGTATTTTTAGTAGAGACGGGGTTTCACCGTGGTCTCGATCTCCTGACCTTGTGATCCGCCCGCCTCGGCCTCCCAAAGTGCTGGGATTACAGGCGTGAGCCACCGCGCCCGGCCGAAAACTCAATTCTTAATATTAAAGCTAGAAAAACAAGACCGTGGATCTCAGGAGAATGAACGAGAAGCCATGATGTAGGAAATAAAGTTTCATCTTCCACCTTGAAGTCAGCTGAGGATAATATTAGAGGAATTTTATAAAGTCACACAGTCATGAGCAGGAAGACAGATTAGAATTCATCTAATTTGTAACTTTGCTTCTTGGTAAAATTGTCCCTGAGATCAAAGACATCATTAATATTCTCCTTAGGGACATATTTCAACAAAATGTGATAGAATAAAATGTTTGCAGTTTCCAAACAAAGATTCTTTGCTTGCTACTTGACATTGGACTTTAAATTTGTTCTCTACGTTGTCTTCCTTAACTATGCTTCAGGTCTTTGTGCCCAGGACGTGGGGCAAGCAGTTGAGAGAACTGGGTGAAAGGTGTTAGAGAGGTAGGCAGGAAAATTAGAGAGGGGTAGGCCGGGCGCGGTGGCTCAAGCCTGTAATCCCAGCACTTTGGGAGGCCGAGACGGGCGGATCACAAGGTCAGGAGATCGAGACCATCCTGGCTAACACGGCGAAACCCCGTCTCTACTAAAAAAAAAAACACAAAAAATTAGCCGGGCAAGGTGGCGGCGCCTGTGGTCCCAGCTACTCGGGAGGCTGAGGCAGGAGAATGGCGTGAACCCGGGAGGCGGAGCTTGCAGTGAGCTGAGATCTGGCCACTGCACTCCAGCCTGGGCGACAGAGCGAGACTCCGTCTCAAAAAAAAAAAAAAAGAAAATTAGAGAGGGTGGAAAGTCCCAAAATCCTTTCTAGAGGTCGAGCATGGTTCTCTTGCTACACTTACTACATTAGAATAAGCATGTCTCTTTTTGCTATTTACTAAATGTAGACTAAAACAGTTCTCCTTCTTAAACAGCAGAGACCACGCAGAGGCTGCCTTTGGATGAAGTCCAGGAAGTGCTTCCCCCAATACCAGAACTATAAGTTACTTCCGCAGTGTATCCGTGAGATCAATATACACGGTGAGTGATTATTTGGCTTTATCGACTTTATTCGTTATAAACACAGATAGATTCAAGGGGGCACAGTTGAACCCCAACTCCATTTCTGTCTGGTAGGAGGTAGAAAATGATGAATTTGCAGTCAGTTCATATGAATTAGATGACATGAAATAAAATGACTATTTTCTCCAAGATCTAGGGAGGATCAGTAGATGGATCTCTTAGTTTTTTAAACTGCTCCTGAGATGTTAGCTTATCCCTTGACCCTGGTTTTCCTGGAGTTGAGCCATAATTTAGTTAGACTATGAGAAAACAGAGAATGAGATGTGTAAAGCAAACTGCCTACTCCCCGATATTGAAATAAAAACTTCTCTAAATGTGACATCTGATAATCTAAATTAATGCCTATTGATTTCCATGTATTTAAGTCTAAAAGTATGGTCAAAAGTATTGAATTTTTTTTCATTCATTCATCAAATCTTCCTTGAAATTTTTTTCATTCATTCATCAAATCTTCCTTGAAATTTTTTTCATTCATTCATCAAATCTTCCTTAAGTAGCAATTATGTTAAAGGCACTAGGAATAGCCATTGTAGGGAGTATAAAAATTATAACAGGGAAGGGGAGGGAAACTAGCATTTATTAGTACCCCTCTTATTGTGCTTTGTGGTAATTGGTTATATCATTTACTCTTCAGAATACGTTGGTGGTTATCAGTCAAGGTACTATCAGGAAATTGATATTGTACTCAAATTGAATACTTTGAGAAGAGTTTAATGAAGGGCATATTAAGCCAGGATGTGGGAAAAATGAAAAGGGAGAATGCAGCACCCTGAGAAAAGAAATAGTGGGGCCCTGCTACTGTATTTAAGACTAAAGGGGAAAGAAACCCAGAGAGACAGAGACAGAGGGAGACATGCACGCATGTACACACACACAGACACACACACACACAGACACACACAAAAAAGTGTGAGGAGGGCTGTTTGACAGGAGCTGTGACATTTGCTCAAGGGACACTATAGCCTGGGGTCACCCTGAAAAGAGAGAATAACTATCCAAACTTTGGGAACTCTTATACACTGTTGGTAGGAATGTAAGCTAGTGTAGCCACTATGCAAAACAGTAGGAGATTTCTCAAAAAACTTAAACTAGAACTACTGTTCCATTCAGCGATCCTACTACCGGGCATCTACCCAAAGGAAAAGAAATCACGGCAGGGTGCAGTGACTCACGCCTGTAATCCCAGCACTTTGGGAGGCTGAGGTGGGCAGGTTGCTTGAGCTTAGGGGTTCGAGACCAGCCTGAGCAACATGGTGAAACCCTGTCTCTACAAAAAGTACAAAAATTAGCCAGGCATGGTGACATGTGCCTGAAATCCCAGCCACTGGGGAGGCTGAGGCAGGAGGATCACTTGAGCCTGGGGAGTTGAGGCTGTAGTGAACGGTGTTCATGCCACTGCACTCTAGCTTGGGAGACAAAGTGAGACCATGTCTTAAAAAAAAAAAAAAAAAAAGAAAGAAGGAAAGAAAGAGAAAAATAAAATAAATCACTATAGCAAAGGGATACCTATACTCACATGTTTACTGTAGCACTATTGACGATAGCAAAGATATGGAATGGACCTAAGTGCCCATCAACAGGTGAATGGATAAACAAATGTGGTCCATATACACAATGAAACATTTGCTGTAAAAAATGAAATCATGCCATATGCAGCAACATGGATGGGACTGGAGGTCATTATCTCAAGTGAAGTAAGCCACGGACGAAAAGGCAAATATCACATGTTCTCCACTTGTAGATGAGAGCTAAAAAAATTGATCACATGGAGGTAGAGTGGAAAGATAGAGAACAGAGACTGGGAAAGGTAAGTTGTGGGGAGAAGATGAAGGGAAATGGATTAAAGGGTACAAACGTACAGTCAGGTAGAAGGAATAAATTAAACATCTGAAAGCACAGTAGGGTGACTATAATTACACAAAAATGTATTGTACTTGGGCTACAGATACCCTAAATATTCTGACTTGATCACTAATCACTGTGCATTATATACATAGAACAAAAGTTAGCAGGTACCCCATAAATATGTACAAACAACCCCAACTTTACCATCCTTTCTTCCTCTAATGTGCTGGTACTCCCCCATTGACCAAACCCAGTCAGAGCCAGAGGGCACTAGAGCCCAGTGGAGGCAGTTATGTAAGTTGACCTCCCAGGGCACCGAGCAGGGTGGAAACAAGTAGAGGGCAGATCGGGAGAGATAGCCAAAGGGATCCAGCATAGATGGCTCAATACGCCAAACTGAAACTAAGTGCCAAGGATCTATCTGTGTTCAAGATTAAAGAGAGGCGGGTCTTACTACTTTGTGTCTCAATGCAACCGGGGTCTGCTGTTGGCTCAGAAATTCCTAAGTAGCATATAGTGTAGTCATATGATTGTGTCAATGATATATTACTGGATATTATTATGCTTGAGACCTCTGATTCTGGTTCTTCATTCTGGGATGTTTATCTTTGCATCTGAAGGGTTCCTCTTTCTTTGTTCATTCACCAAATGATTTTTGACCACCTACTGTATGTTGAGAATTCTACTCATTGACAAAAACAACAATGTAGTCAATGGAGGAGTCAGATTAGAGAACCCCTAATTCCAATAAAGACTCAAGGAACATGACAGAGGGATTCACATGGGAAGGGAGGGCCTTGGGGAGCACAATAGAGAGACTCCTCCTTCAGAGGACATGATGCCTAGTGTTTAGATGTTCAATAAGGATTTGTTGAGTGAATGAATAAATCCCAATTTCTATGTCTCTGTGCTAGAATCATGGAATGTTATAAGTGAAAGAAACTGGCATGAACACTTACACTTTCATTTGATAAATATAGAAAATAAACCAAACATACTCTAGCAGCAGATGTTAGAGGAGACTCTAGGTTTCCTTGGTCCTAGGCTGAGAAGTTTGTTATCACTGAGCACATTGTCTTCTTAGGGATATAATGGGGGATGCCATCGCATCACACAGAATCAGCCCTGGGGTCACCCTGAAAAGAGAGAATAACTATCCCAACTTCGGGAACTCTTATACACTGCTGGTAGGAATGTAAACTAGTATAGCCACTACAGAAAACAGTATGGAGATTTCTCAAAAAACTAAAAATTGAACTTCTGCTCCATTTAGCAATCCCACTACTGGGTATCTACCCAAAGGAAAAGAAGTCATGGAAGGGTGCGGTGGCTCATGCCTGTAATCCCAGCACTTTGGGAGGCTGAGGCAGTCAGGTTGTCCTGAAAGAGCCCTGAATCAGAGACTTGAGGACATTTTTTGGTGGTCTTATAAGGCATAGTTTTAACAAATGGTTTTAAAATTGTTTTCTACCAGTTCTAATTCAAGTAACACTTAACAAAATTTTTGTGTGAATAATATTTTCTTGCTTTTGTTTAAATCTTCAGAATATCCCTGGGCACCTTGGACTGAGCCCTTTGAAGAATACTCATAATTTTATTTTGTGAATGAGTAGACTGGAAAATGTTTGGGTCCAGCTGAGGATGCACAGTTGGAAAGCAGGAGGAATGCTGACTGGTTGATGAAAACTAGCTTAAGAGCATTCATTTGACCCATGAGATCAAGGGAACAAGAGTATTTGCAAGAAGCCATTATGAGTCATGGAAAACAAGATGATGAAACCCATGGAAACAGCAAGAGAATTCCTACTCTTTCTCTTCTTAAAAAAATCTATCACATACAGCACAGAATGGAGTCAAGATTTTAATTTTGAGGAACCAAAAAAAGGATCAAACATGAAAACCCTTTCTTTTATTGGGCCACATTGTAGGTGCTGATTCGATAATTTTTTCCTATGCAGATAGATTATTTCTATTTTGTAGATTATTTAAGAGGGTCTGGTTGTTTGTTAATACGTTTGTTTGCATTTATGAATTTTGCTGCCTTTTAGCACCAGGATGTTTTTAAAAAAATTCAAAGAGGCCGGGCAAGGTGGCTAACGCCTGTAATCCCAGCACTTTGGGAGGCCGAGACGGGAGGACCATGAAGTCAAGATATCGAGATGATCTTGGCCAACATGGTGAAACCCCGCCTCTATTAAAAAAAATTAGCTGGGTGTGGCAGCGCGTGCCTGTAGTCCCAGCTACTTAGAAGACTGAGGCAAAAGAATCGCGTAAACCAGGAGGCGGAGGTTGCAGTGAACCAAGATCATGCCACTGCATTCCAGCCTGGCGACAGAGCGAGACTCTGTCTCAAAAAAAAAAAAAGAAAAAAAGAAAAAAATTTAAAGATACCAAAATAAAACAAATTTAAATAAAATACTTAAGTACTTAAATCTAACAGCAAAACATTTCCTTTGATTCTTTTGGCTTTCATATTTGTTATAGCCATTATTAATGTCAAGCATAATTATAGTTATTAATGACAATAAAAAAAGCACATATAGACAAGAGGGCAGCTCTTAACATTAAAATATAAAAATGCTTTTCCAGAGTTAAGGTGGAACTTAATCTCCTGGCCATCATTATATGGTTAAAATTGCTTATCTGAGTTGATTTACAGAGTTAACTGCAGGGTCAGATTTAATAATCAGTGATGGGGTTGAGGACATGCTACCCCAAAATATGGCACCTTGGCAAACTGAATGTTTTAAGCTGAAGGATTTGAGAAAATGGCAAATTTTAAGTGGAAATATTACTCTGACCTTCCTTTGCCACCTTTCTCTCTGGAAGTAGGTAATAAAACCTTTGCTGACCTTCCTCGAAAACACATCATAGGACCTCATGTGAGAGGTGCTCTTCCTATATCCACAGAGGAAAGGCAGTTCCCTATCTCCCAAGACACAGGCACACAGAGGAGAATCTGAACAAACGGGCCCTGCTAAGTTTCCCTCCATTTATTCCTATTAGATCTAGTACTCCTTTTGCCTGATTATATTTCTCCAAGTCTTTCTCCATTCTTCATCAAACCTACTACTAAAAACACTCAAGTGTAACTGTTTCCTCTGATCTTCATTTCCTAGAGATGGCCCTTGTGTTATGTAGAATTTATTTAAATAAATCACTATGTTTTTCTCTGGTTAATCTTTTGTTATAGCGGATTCAGCTCTGAATTTAAAAGGGTAGAAGGAAAAGATATTTTTCCCTTCCTACATAACCAATCTAACAGGCATGAATATTCCAGAGGTTTTTTTTTTTTTTTTCTGGTATTTGATTATTTTTTTCTATAGATCACAAATTGAGATTCTAATTGTAAAATTTAGAGATTGAAGATTTGGCAAACGGAATTATAGTAGTCTCGCTTTTTCTTGTCTGTGTATCCCTAAATAATAGGTGAGTCAAACTCAGGTCTGGGATTTTTCAGCAGGCGTGTAGGGCTATTACACCCTATGAGATATGGATACTATGCAACTTCTCAGAAGCCAAATTATTGTTTCCCTACACACTACCTCTTATGTTCTGACAAATGACTTAGAAATCAATGAGCACTTGGCTTGCAAAAAGCATATATTAAGCTTTGAGTCCACTTAAATTGTGGCAGCTTTCAGGAAGCTAATTTCACCTATTCATTAAAATAATTGACTTTTAACAGATACTGTGAAGCACACAAAGATGTAGATGGCCTACACTGCCTACAGAGAATTTACACTCTGGCAGAGGAGACAGGATGTGTACGCCTCTGGTGAAAATACTAGACACAATACGGTAAGCTAAGTGTCAATTGCAGGATGCAGGCTTCCTGCTGAGAATTTACAAGCCAATAGGATCAATTCCAGTTGGGAGGAATTAGGGCAGGCTTTTGAGCAGGGTTTTGAAGATGGCTTTTCCTGATTTCTCAGAATCACCAAACCTCTTAAATACACACGTTCTCAGCCCCCATAACTGTTTTCATACCTATTACTTTGCCATTATTTTTGTGGTTACGAATTAATGTCTGGCTTCCTTTCTAGACTGGAAGCTGCATGAGGACAGGGAACATGTCTGGTTCTGCTCACCATAGTATCCCCAGCAGCTGGTAGGGTGTTTGGCTCACAGTAGGTCCTTTGTAAATATCTGCTGGGTAAAGAACTAGGCCGGGTGCAGTGGCTCACACCTGTAATCCCAGCACTTTGAGAGGCAAAGGCAGGAGGATCGCTTGAGGCCAGGAGTGTGAGGCTGCAGTGAGCTATGGTTGTACCACTGCACTCCAACCTAGGCAACAGAGTGAGACCCTGTCTCTGAAAAATAAAGACCTATTTATCAAGCCTTTACTCTACATCTGGCATGGGCCTTGTGTACTTTCATTTCTTCCTCACAATGATGCCTTGAAACAGGTGTCATTCTCTCTGAGGAAGCTGAGGCTAAGGGAATCACCAATCCTATTGATTGATATGCTTCAATCTTAGGTTGGTCAGGCTGCAAAGCCTGTGCAGCTTCTACAGTCTGCCCTGTAGGGTAGAGACAGGGCAAAGAGAGCAAAATGGATGGGGGGGCGTGCCTGAGAGAAGTGGCTATGGCTGAGAGTACTGTCAAAGATCTCTTCAAGGAGCGCAAGGAGGCTGGGTGAACTGGGCCCTGGAAGAAGACATCTCACTGGAGTTGCTATGTGGTCACTGGTCCTGTGTGTCTCCCCTAGCCTGGCAGTTCCGTCCCCCTCTCCATACAACTGGCCCCAGTAACAACCAACCTGGGGTCCTTGGTGCCTCGTATGATTGATGGCTTCCCATTGACATCACTAGCTTTTTGTGTACCCTGCTTTCCAGTTGGTTCCAAACTTGACCTTGACCCACCCACACCCCCTCCCTATGACTTGTGGCTTAGTCCTGTGTTCACTGCAGGCTTTCCTCCCCAGCTGTAAGCCACAGTCATCTCCTTGACCTCTGCATCCTGTTGAGCAGCCAGGTCCCTAGCCTTCCATTCAAAGAATTCAGGTGTAGATTGAAGAGGGAGAGAGGAAACATGGCACCATGCAGGAGTCTTTTAGTCATTAAGCACACAGTGGAATTCGAGTGACAGAAAGAAGAAGAGAAAGAAGAGAGGGTATGGATGGAGAATTGGTGGTGTTTGATAACTGATTTGATGCAGGGGTGATAGTCAGGGTAGGCAGAGAAAGGAGAGATGAGACACACGTGAAAATCTTCCAGACTCCTGTGTGCAGAAAATAAATATTGCCCTAACTTATAACTACTAGTTTTTAGTTTCTAGAAGAATTTTTATTTTCCAGAGGATTTCTACCGAACTCTGTACTTTCATCCTAGCCTGAAGTTGTACTCTTCCCTTATCTATACTCAGTCATCCCTGGATGGAACAGTCATTCAGACCACGTTCTCTTCCCTGCCTTTTTAATGATTGTTACATTTGCCCTTTCCTTTCATCTTTGTAAATCCTTTTCATCAAAGGCAGATAGGCCACCTTGTCCATGAAGTTTCCCCTGCTCACCCCAGATGGCACAATGTCTGGTTCTTTTTCAGTGTTTTTCTAGGATTTAGTCCTCTTATCATGGTACTTCTCACATCTTGCCTTGTACCACAGCTAGTTGTTTTCATTTCTCTTTCCCTACCAGACTGTAAGTGAGAGCGGGAACCATATAATCTCCAGCTTCTGAGTCTCTGATGATAGGTACTCACTTCCCTCCAACCTGCTTCTCCCAAGCAATAATCATCTGGGTTAATGGAGTTAGCCAGATGTTGGCTGTAGATTCAGGTTATCTGTAAGGGGATGGAATTGGAGGCCCACACATCAGGGCCTTCTAGCACAATGATAATGTCCTTTTATAAACTTGGTGGCAGGTGTATGAGAGTTCGTTGGGTCATGATTCTATATAGCTTACATAAATTTTAAAATGAACTTTAGCACCTACTTAATATTTAGTAAAATAAAATTTAAAAATAGACAAACATTGTACTGAATTGCATCCATCCTTACCTTCTCCCTCTGTCAGTAGATAACTTCTGTCTGTTTATCTCTCTCTGAACTATCTTCCTTTCCCTTTCTGTCAGACATTGTGGAATAAAGACTTGAACTCAATTTTCTGACACAGTTTATTCTCATAATTTGACTCTGTTTACTTCCTTCTCTGTCTCCTTGTCTATTTTACTTCTTTTTCTGTCTACGTATTTCTTCACCATCTCCGACTATTTTTACTATTCTGATGGATGGCAATCTTAGGATAATGAGTGGAAAAGAGTTCTTAAATCTTGAAAATTTAAGTAAGGCGTATTACCAGATTAACCTAGAGTCATGAAAACTAAAACATACATTTAAAAAATCTTCTGTGAACTGGAAATTATATACTTTGGTAAAGGTTCTGAATAGACTTTTTTTTGAAAAGAAGACATAAAAACAGAAAAGTAATGAAAAAATGTTCAACATCACTAATCATCAGGGAAATACAAATCAAAACCATACTGGGGTATCATCTCACTCCAAGTCAAATGGCCATCCTCAAAAAGACAAAAAATAACATAAATGCTGGAGAGGATGCAGAGAAGAGGAAACTCCTGTACACTGTTGGTGAGAATGTAAATTAGTACAGCCCTTATGAAAAATAGCATGAAGGTTTCTTAACAAACTAAAAATAGAACTACCACATGATCCAGCAATGCTACTACTGGGTATTTATCCAAAGGAAAGGAAATCAATATATCAAAGAACTACCTGCACTCCAGTGTTTATTACAGCACTATTCAAAGTAGCCCAAATATGAAACCAACATACAGATCCATCAATGGATGAACGAATAAAGAGAATGTGGTACATATATGCATTAGTCCATTTTCACACTGCTAATAAAGGCATACCCAAGA